GCACCAGCCCTGAAGTCAGGAGGACTTGAGTTCAAATCTGGCCTCAGACCCAACACTTGACACTTACTAGCTGTGTGACCTTGGGCAAGTCACTTAACCCCAATTGCCTTAAAAAAAAAGTCAAAAAATGCAAGCTGCATTACAGATAAGAAGTTATGCAAAACAAATTTTTCACATTAGCCATGTTCCCTCAAAAAAGAGAGGGGGAAAAAATAAGCTTCAATATGAGTTCTACCAGTTCTCTCTCTGGAGCTAGAAAGCATTTTTCATCATGAGTACTTTGAAGTGGTGGTGGATCATTGTATGGATCAGAGTTAGTCTTTTACAATTCATTATTTTTACAATATTGCTGTTACTGTGTAAGTTGTTCAGATTCTCATTTCATTTTGCATCAGTTCATTTAAGTTTTCCCAAGTTTTTCTGAAACCATCCCCTTCATCATTTCTTACAGTACAAATAATATTTCTCCACTTGATAGGCATCTCAGTTTCCAATTCTTTTCCACCACAAAAAGAGCTGTTACAAATATTTTTGTACATATGGGTCCTTTTCTTCTTTCTTTGATCTCTTTGGGATATAGACTTAATAGTGGTCCTGCTGTGTCAAAGATATGCACAGTTTAATAAATTTTTGGGCAAAGTTTCACATTGCATTCCAGAACTAGTTCACAGCTGTACCAGCAGTGCAGCAGTGTACCTGTTTTTCCATATCCCTTCCAACATTTGTCATTTTCCTTTTCTGTCATCTTAGCCAAACTGGTGGGTGTGAGGTGGTACCTCAGAGATGTTTTAATTTGCATTTCTCTATTACTGATTTAGAACATTTTTTCATATGACTATTGATAACTTTGATTTCTTCCTCTGGAGACTGCCTATTCATGTTTTTTGACCATTTATCAATTAGGGAATGGCACAGAGTCAGAATTTGAACTCAGTTCCTCTTGACTCCAAATCCAGTGCTGAAGAGCTGCTTAAATATTCTTGGTCTCAGTTTCTTCACCTGTAAAATGAGAGAATTCAACTAAATAATCTTTAAAGTTTCAACTTTCCCCCCCAGAGTTTTGTGACATTGTATTTTGACATTGTTCACACTCTTTTTTTAAATGGGAAAAGTAGAAAATAAACAAGTTGGTAGAGAGATAGCCAAAGAAGCAACTTTAAGAATGTCACAGAGTTAGTAAAGCTTCAGTCTACTTCCCATACCTTTGACTTAAAGTATTGTGTAAGTTACTAATACTTGAGGTATTTCAAGTCATTTAGTTCCTTCTGAATCATTAAAGATGATATTACATTTAAAATAGCTAATGCTAAGTATATATTATCACCTAATTCTTTGAAAAGCAGTAATACTTTTTATGGTTACATCAAATAATGGGACTCTTTAGTTAACCAATACACTTTATTTCACAATTATTTGTGGTAGTTTATTGTGTTGTCTTTTTAGTCACTGAAACTGAGGTTTCAGTGGCTTCCTGCTAGTGTTCAAAGCTTAGAAGATTCTTAACAGTTCCTAGGCTGGCTTCTCATCATGTCTACTTTCCCCACATTTATTTGCATGACTTGATACCTTTCTGTTTCTTACCTTAGTTCCTCTTATCCATGCCTTTGTGAGGAATAGGAGATATAAATTTTCACCTTCCCCCCACCTGCCTCTACAACCCTAGCATAACTATCCTATGATTTTTTACTATAGAAAGAGAAAGGAATATCACTGACTAAATCAGTAGATTTTTAAAAAATCTGCAACACTGGCCTCAGACCAAACACTTGACACTTACTAGCTGTGTGACCCTGGGCAAGTCACTTAACCCCAATTGCCTAAAACCAAAACACAAACAAAAAAAAATCTACAACAGTATGTACAGTCATTGCCTTTATGGAAATATAAATGGAACTAAGTTGAATCTTTCCTTGATCTTCCTCTCTTTTGCTGATTTATATTATGGTTTCTTGACCTGGTAGTCTATCCTGATAGAGAAGTCTCTTTCTCTTCCCAGAGTTATTGATCTTAAAATGTATCTCTTTCTTTGCAAAAGAAAAATCAACTCTTCTTCCAAAACCTTTCTCACATTTAGACAGGATTTTAACTTTGGTCTATGGGCACTAGTAATGGAGCACATGGGACTCTAGGAGGTATATTTATATTTCAAACTGAAACATCAGATTTTTACCTCATTTACATTTCAGACAGAAATAGATTGTCTACCATCTTTTCTCCAGGAATATTACCTTAGATAACTTTCTCTTTGTTCAGATACTTAAATATGAATATTAGGATGTCATAACTCCTGGTTACTCTTCTTCCTTGAGCCAAGTTGTCCTGGGTCTTTTAGGAATTTTACAGTGGCCGGCATTAAGAACTGTATGAATTATTGTCTTCTCTACCACCTCCTCCCTCTTGGGAGATTGTATATTTACCATGAACCCTTCTTTTTCTTTCTTTTATAGCTCAGCTAATTGGACCTCAAGCAATTTATTTTTCAAATGGGAAGCAGCACTGTACATTGGGAAAAACTGGACTAGGACTTGAGTCTAGTCCCAGTTTTCCCACTAACTTGCTGTGGAAATGGCAAGTTTATCACTGACGTCAGTGTGGCATGATGGAAGGAATGCTGGATGTGGAACCATCTAATCTGGGTTCAAATTCCTCCTCTACCACTTATAACCTGTATGACCTTGGATAAGTCACTTAACCTCCAAGGGCCTCATTATTCTTATTTATAAAATGAGCCAGTTGCATTAGATGACTCAATGTCCCTTCCAACTATAAATCTATGTATGATCAATCCCTAACCCTTTTAGTTTTAAGTTAATTGTTGTTAATAACAGAATGGGTAATGGAAAATCAATCTGGTGCAATTTAAATCGCTATTTGTGTGTGGCTGAATTTAACCTGTAGTTCATTGATAATTGAGTAAGTAATGGAAAAAGAATATGTTTTAGAAGTATCTATTGAGCTAACCTTTTGGAAGATAAATTTTGTGCCAGTAGCAATTTTTGGTACAGTAGAACATGCTCATTTGCACACACAGAACCAAGTCACTCTGTCACATCTTAAAATGTAGTTCTTAAAGTGAGTTTTGTTTGTACTGTTGGTAGGTAGCTTTTTCTAGTAATAATGATTTTTTTTGGTGTAATGAACTAAATTGTTTGCTGTTTGCCAATCACCAAAAACTGGTAGCATTTCACTTCTCTTTAGAGCAGGCTTTATAAATTTTTTAAATTACTAAAGATAAAATACCTTGTTAGCTTGGCAAGTATTTGAATTACATTTTCAATGTAGTTTGAAAAAGTAATACTACTTAAAATGAGGATTCAGAAAAAACCGGTCCCAGCATTTATTTAAATGGGATTAGCCAGATCTCATTTTCCCTGACTATGGTTAGTTTCAAAGCATTTTTTGGGGTAGGAAAACATTTCTTGCATTTGAAAATACATCTTACTATAATTATAAACATTCACAACTATGAATCAATGAATAATATGCTCCCTTAAATAGAACTCCCATTCAAATTTAGAAACAATCTTTTGAAAGTGAAAATATGCCCCAGATGTTGTGTTGTTTTTTGGATTTTTTTTTTCATTTTAAATTTGACAAATTAAGTTGGTTTGACAAATATTTATAACAGGTATATAAATGACAATGTTTAAAGTTTACAAAGTTATGGTCTATAGTGGGGGTGTTTTGCCCCCCCCAACTCAGCTGACACCATTAAAATAAGAGACAGATAATACAAGTAATGGAAATGAACATATTAATGAAGTACAGAGACTCCTCTATACATGCCCCGTTATCCCTTTAAGAAGTGTAAAAAAAGCTCCTCTGATTGCATTGGAAGGGCAGGTTGGCAGTGGCCTGCCAAACCCTGGAAATGGTAGAATAATGAAGGTGTTTGAGGCAAGGGGCAGTTTCTTGTGCCTCTGCTAGAATGTGTGTGTGTGTGTATGTGGGTATTTTTTTCTCTTCCTCTCTCCGCATCATCCCATCACCTGTGAGCTGTGATGCCTTGCTAAAGAGCTACTAAACTAGTCAGAGACATATATCTTTCTCCAGGGAGACACAGAGAGGCTGCATTCAAGCCCTAAGCAGCTTCAGTGAGCATGGCTTAAGGTAATAGAGAATAGAGCCAATTGGATGTAAGAGTACTAGCTCTGGTAATCACGAGTCAGGCTTCAGAGAGGAGCATTCCTAGGGATTCCAGTTGTTTTTGTGGTGTACCTATCCAGCAGAGATGCTGTTCTCAGTGGCAGGCAGCATGAGGACACCAAGAGAAGAGAAAGAACATTATTGGGGATCTGAGTTATCAGAGATTTGAGATGGCCTTTGCCACATGATCCCCTACATGGGTGCCTTATTACTGGTGTACTCTAAGTGTGTGTTCACTTTTCCCCACTGACATTATTTGTATTTGTGGAAGGAAGCACCTCAAATTTATGGGAAAAGTACTGTATAGCTGCTGTTCTCACTATGCACTGTTGGTTTGCAATTGAGCCTAACAAAGGTAGATTTACTGGTTGGGGCTTGTGAACAGGCCCATATAGTCACTCCCTTGGGGGACCCAACCTACCAACCTGTGAGTGCCAAGTCAGGAAGGTAGCCCAGAGGTCATGCTACTTGTGACTACTTTCAGAGGTTCTAAGGTACTTTGTGGGCCTGTATTTATTTATTTATTTATATAGTTCAAAAGCCCTAACCAATGAACCTGCCTTTGTTAGCTCAATTGCAAACCAAAACTGTATAGTAAGTATACCATCTAAAAATTAGAGTTAAAAGATCAAAACTAGAGACTCTGTATGCAAAATAGATAATTCCAAATTGATTCTATCCTAGTAACCAGCAGCTACTCTTCATCCCCCCCCAAACCAAAAATGATTCCAAAATGTTCTACAAAATTATTTTCGCACCGTAGACATTATCATGGGTGGAATCAATCTTTGTTAAATGACTGAGTTTCTCAGTTTTACTCAGAGAAGGAGCAGAAGGCCAAGTGACACAGTTGAAATATTTTAAATGTTTGAGGATTTTATAATTAGTCACTTTTAAAAAAATACATAACAAGGCACTGTTCAAGTCACTTTGTCACAAAGGAAAAAAATATCAAAAAGCCGTTATTCCAAGAGTTTTGGTATAAAATAAGTTTTGGGTTGAAATAATATTGTAGTCATTGTATCATCAGGCATAAGTGATGCTTTTGCCCTGGAGTAGATCAGAGAGATGTTTTTGAAAGTATTTTCTAAAAATTTAGCAGTTCTGTTAAGTAATAGGATGGGTTGCCTTTCATAAGTAGTAATCTCCGCAACACAAATTATTCAGAGACTAGTTGGCCACTGATGAATTTTCTAAAGGGGATTCCTGCATTAAGTGGAAGGTTGGATAGTTAGTCTTTAGAAGCCATTTAGGCTTTTCTAATTCTACATCTAGCATATCAATAAATGCTTAACACTTTCTATGGTAACAGAATTGTAAGCAAAGTCTCTGTCCATCAGTAGGTAAATGGCTAAAATTGAAGTACATGAATGTAGTGGAATCTTACTGTATGAAATGATGAATATTAAAAATTCATAAAAGAATGAGAAGATTTAGCTGAGATGATACAGAGTAAAGTAAGAAGAACAAGGAAGACAGTATGCTCAGTTTCTACAGTATTGTAAATGGAATGATACCCCCACCAAAAAAACAAACAACTGAATGCTAATTATAATGATCAGGTTTGGCCATGAAGAAGAGTTGAGAAGAAGCACTTCTCCTTTGCAGAACTGGGGGAATTGGGGTGTAGACTGTGGCATATGTTGTCAGGCATGGTTGATATGCTGGTTGCTTTTGCTGAACTGCTTTTTACTTCTTTTTCAATCTTTGTAACAGAAGGAGCCTATAATAAGGAAAAGATAGAGATTTAAAAAGATACCAGTGAGAATAGGCTTATAGATATAGGAACTGGACCTGTGATTTCATTGATATGAGGAGCTCCTGGGTCTGGTAATTCCCTCTATCATTGCAGGATAGCATCTTTTCTTCAACTTAATAAGTTTTTAAAATTTCTTTAGTGGAAGGAGTGTTTATAAGTTTTTTTTTAAGTGTACTAAGTTCTTCTGAACATTTTATGTAGGACATCATTAAAGCTGGGTCTGCATGTATAATATTTATGGTCATAGGAGCGCAATCTTCTGAACTCTGAAAGTCAGCTGGAATTTATTTAGTGCCTACCACATACCTACTGTACTAAGCTCTTATCTCAAATGAAGCAATATTTGTAAAGTGCTTAGCATAGTGCCTGGCACTTAGTAGGCACTCAGTAGGCACTCAGTGAATTTGTGTTCCCTTCCCCTCTAAATACTGAATATCTTTACCATCCAAGTCAGACATTATTGGCATTATTTATTTCAAGGCCTATGGGGAAAAAGTTTGCATTGCTGGTATATAATTCTAGCCCTACTCAAGCTGTAATAAAGATTTCACAGACATAAAAGAACCTTATAACAAAATCTTACCATTCACTGTGAGAGAGAGCTTGAAATGTAATGGTCACTGAAATTCAATCATTGGAATTCAAACAGTAAGGCTGGAGTTATAGATAGGGACCTTGAAGGTGTCTTCCTTACCTGTAGTTTGCCTTCTTTGGGAGGTGAAGAGAATTTTTCAGCTTTTATACCCATGAAAGTTATTATTTTTTTAAATGTGTTATCTTGAGAAAATCAGTGCTACTAAGGTTTATCAGTGTATGAGGTCAGAATTTCAGAACCAGAGAGAGCCTTAGAAATCATGTAGGCTTGGGGCAGCTAGATGGTGCAGTGGATAGATCACCGGCCCTGAAGTCAGGAGGACCTGAGTTCAAATCTAACCTCAGACACATAATAGTTCCTAGCTGTGTGACTCTGGGCAAGTCACATAACCCCAATTGCCTCACCAAAAAAAAAAAAAAAGAAGCCATGTAGGCTACAATTTTTTTTTTCATATAGATGAGGTGCCTAATAAGACTTGATAGCTATCCAAAGAAAATGTTGATCTATTGGTAAATCACATTTTGATAAGTATTTCAATTTGTAGTTTTTAAACAAAAGTACTAAGATAATCATCCAGTTATTGAATATTTTAAGTTCAAGGTACCTTGAAAGATGATCTTATCTTTGACCTTCTTGCCAAGGCCAATCCCTATAGAAGGTACAGCAGATGGAGTGCTGGACCTGGGGCCAGGAAGACCCGAGTTCAAATCCAGCCTCAGGTATTTACTAGATGTATGACCCTCTTTTAATCTCTGTCTGCCTCAGGTTCTTCAGCTGTGAAATGGGGATGATAATAATAGCACCTACCCTCCAAGGTTGTTGTGAGGATCACATGAGATATTTGTAAAGTTCTTAGCGTGCTGTCTAGCGCATAATAGATGCTTAAAAATGCTCATTTTTTCCCCTCCCCTGTATGTCCTTGATCCTATCCCCTCCCATTTTCTCCAGCAGAATGCAACCTTAATTATGTTTTCATTCTTTCCCTAATCCTCAAACTCTCCCAATCTATTGGTTTCTTCCCTGCTGCCTTCAAACATACCTTTTTCCTCCATTAAAAAAAAAACACAAAACCTTGATTAGACCTTGCTATCACCTCAAGCTATTATCTGATATTCCTCCTCCCTTTCTCAGCCAAACTCCTGGAAAATGCCATGTTCATTGCCTTTATTTCCTGTCCTTTCACTCAACCTCCTACTGTCTGACTTTCAACTCTTCCCCCAACTGAGATTGCTCTCTCCAAAGTTACAATCTCTTAACTGCCAGAGCTGATGATATTTCCCAGTTCTCATCCTTTTCAACTTCTCTGCTTCATTTTAATTGTTGAGCACCCCATTTGAGGTGATCTCTTTGAGTTTTTGTGACACTTTACCCTCCTGGTTCTTCTCCTGCCTAACTACTACTCTATCTCCTTTGCTGACTTATAATCCGTATCATGCCTCCCAACTGTAAGAGTTTTCCAGGGCTCTGTCCTGGGCTCTTTTTTCTTTTTATACCAGAATCTTAACTTTTTTTGTATCATGGGTCCTTTGGCAGCCTATGGACCCCTTTTCAGAATGTTTTTACATGATAAAATAAAACACATAGGATTACCAAGGAAGCCAGTTATATTGAAATAAAAGTATGATTTTTCCTCCTCAAGTTCAAAACCCCCCTGAAATCCATGGACCTCAGGTCAAAAACCCCTCCTCTACCCTGTCACTCTTGGTGACTTCAGCAACTTCCATGGCTTTAATTATGATTTGTATATATAATCCCAATCTCTTCTTTAAGCTGCATCACCAGTTGCCTGTTGGGCATTTCAATCTGAATATCCTAAAGATATCTCAAACTCAGTATGTCTAAGATAGAACCCATTTTCTTTCTCCTCTAAATCCACTAATCTGATTTCTGTTGAAAGTACCACAGTTTTTCTAGTGTCCCAGGTCTCTAAACTTGGTGTTAACCTCAACTCCTCAGTTTTTCTCACTCAGTTTATCTAGTTAGTTGCCAAACCTTGCCATTCATTTCTGTCTCCACACCATCACTGACATTTGACCTCTTCTTTCCACTCATACAGTTACCACCTTAGCTTAGGTCTTCATCACCTCTGGCCTACCTTATGGCAAAGGCCTCCACATTGTTCTTCTGTACCTTGTCAGTCTCCACTATAGGTCATGCTGCACAATGTTGCCAAAGGGATTTCCCACAAATGCAGATATTTCTTTTAGCATAAAATAGAAATTCCTCCTTTTAGCTTTTAAAACCCTTCATCTATCTCCAACCTCTCTTTCCAGGCTTGTGGCATAGTATTTTCCTCCTATCCTTTGTGATCTAGCTAGTCTCAATTCCTCAGACATGACACTCCATATCTTGTCTCTGTCCCTGTCCACTGACCATGCCCTCATGTCTGCAATGCTCCCACCCCCACCCCAAATCCTTCTGTTCCTTCAAGATGCAGTCCAAGCATCAGTACCTACATGTAGTCTTTCCTGAGCCTTACAATTGCTAGCACTCTCTCTCACTAACCACTTTGTACTTATTTGTATTTATTCTTTGGATATTCTGTATATACACATATGTATTTATTGTCTCCTCCATTAAAATGTAAGTTACTTGAGAGTAGGAATTCTTCCTTCTTTATGTCTCCAGCTCCTAGGACTGTGCTTAGCATATAGCTAAATACTTAATAAATACTTATTGATTGATTGAGTTATCCTTTTACCTTGAGACAAGACGGTATTCATACCTTTTGCCCCAAATCTCTCTCTCTTTTAAAAACCATTTTTGAGACCATAATATTCTTTCTGAAAACATACCCCTTTCACAGCCATTGCAATCAGAAGGTTTTTTTCTAATGTCTACCCTAAGTCCCTTGGATTTATTGATAGCTGACAATTATATATCATTTTATAGTTTTCAGAATGCTTTACATATATATGTTTATTTGAACCACACAAACACCTCTGTGAAGTAGGTTAGTCCAGGTATTATTATCCATATGGATTTGTAGTCAGGACCCTTGGTTAGAATCTTAGCTCTGTTACTTCATATTTGTTGTGACCTTTGGTAGGTCACTTAATGTTTTGGGTCCTCAATTCTTCATATGTAAAATGAGGGAGTTGGACCTAATAATCTGTAAAGGCCCTTCCATTTCTAAAGTCTATCATCCTATGATGAGGAAAATGAGAAACAAAGAAGTTAAGAGATTGTTCCATACATACCAATAGTAAGTGACTGAAATGAGGCAGCTGGTAGCACAGTGGCTACAGTGCTGGACCTGTAGTCAGGAAGACCTGAATTTAAATCCAGCCTCAGTTGCTGTCTGTGTAACTGTGGACAAGCCACTTAACCTCTGCCTGCCTTAGTTTCCTCATCTGTAAAACTTGGGTAATAATAGCACCTCCTTTTCAGGATCGTTGTGAGAATCAAATGATACAATGTTTGTAAAGTACTATGAAAATCGTAAAGTGCTATATAAATCCTAGCTAGCTAGCTAACAAAATTTGCCCTAAAACTATGTCAGTCATGTCTTCAGTCTCCAAATAGAACAAACCAGGAGAATGTCTGTTCCTCAGTAAAATAATACTGAGGACATCAGAAGAAAGATGGAAATTATAAGGGATAACAACGTTTAAAAGAAATTTTATAAGGAACTGAAACAAGTAGAAAAAACCACACTACAATTGGAACTTAGGTCAGATCCCTTAAAAAAGAGACTTAAATTAGCATGGTTATGAGGTCTTATGGGGAGGGATAAGATCAGAAAAGTCAAAACAGGAAATGAGTCAAGTGACAAAAGACATGGGGTAGGGGGGAGTGAGGAACCTTTATACAAGAAATAAGAAATAAAAGAAAAAATTTTGCCTTTTTAGGTAGTAAAGGAAAGTTTATACTTGATGGTACCAAATAGGTAGAGACTCTGTACCTTTTTGTTTGTTTTAACTTCAGTCTTTGCCAGAAACTGTTGTCACCTGGAAATAGAAAATACCATGGAGATTAGAAGCATATAACTAGAAGGAGGGAAAAAAAATGGGGCTTTATATATAATGATCGAGATATTAACTAACCAAACTCTTAAAAAGTTAAATTCATACTAAATAAAATGTGTGTGTGTGTGTGTGTGTGTAATATCAAACAATATTTATTAAGCACTTACTATTTGCAGGACATTGTGCTAATTGTTAGAGATACAAAGAAAAAGGGAAAACAGTTGCTTATGTTCTAATGGAGGAAACACGGACATAAAGCAAAATTATTTTCTGTTTGTCCAGGTTGTTTTTATTTATCCTGGACAAGTTGCTCAGGTAAGGACAATAATAAAATATTGAATAATGTGATAAAAAATGAATAGGCATGCCTTATATTTAACAGTTTATCTGTACTTTCACGTATATTTTCTCATCTTGTTTCTGACAGATTCTGTAGAGAGCTACAAAGCAGGTATATTCCTTATTTTATATTTGAGAAAACAATCTCAGAGCTAATAATTTGCTAAAAGTTGTTAACATTTGTAGTGAGTGGTAAAACCAGGACTGGAGCTCAAGTCTTCCTAAGACTAGTCTTAGTACTCTTTCCACAGTGTCACATTGCCTCTCCCTAAGCTATAGACAAACACAGATTCATACCCTTAGAGCTGGAAGGGACTGTACTACTTAAAGGTCATCTGCTAAATGATCTCTTTCAGTTCTTGTCCCTTTCTGTTATAAATCTATTTTTCTATGATCTTATGAACCTCCCACACAATGTAGACATTCCTTCTACAGTATTATTGATGATTTAAATTCAGGACTGCTGGTGAAATTTGTTAAAAGACCTCTAGTAACTTTTTTTGGGTGTATTTCATATTTTAGGTTGAGATTCCACCTCTACTCACAGAATGTATTCACAGAAGGCCCAGACACAAAGATTAAATGAAGCAATCAAAAGTGTAAACTAGATGTGAATAAGCCTTAAATCAGTTTGAAAGGCTTACAGAGCTTTGACCTTTGGATGAAGGCAAATGTAGGAAAAATCTTCTCTATGGCAGAAAAAAAAAATCACAACCCTAGCCCCATACATAAAAATAGCAATCAGCGGAACCTGTGAATCAGTCAACCTGTAAACCAATCTACTGGTGGAATAATTTCCAGTTCAGAGTATTCCTATTTGAGGGTTGGGGTGAAGTCCCAGAGAAGGAATTGCTCGTGGAGGGGATGGAAAAGAGTAATTTCGTTAAAGAAATATGAGAAGAGGTGCAGCTAGGTGGCACAGTGGGTAGAGCACCGGTCCTAGATTCAGGAGGACCTGAGTTCAAATCCAGCTTCAGACACATAACACTTATTAGCTGTGTGACCCTGGGCAAGTCACTTAACCCCATTGCCTAGCCAAAAAAAAAAAAGAAAAAGAAAAATGAGAAGAAAGTTTCATTGTAGGCATGGAGGAGAACCTTCAGAGAGGTAGAGGAGGGCAGGGTTAGTTTAGGAAATAGCTAGCAGGAGAATTTGGCTATATGGACAAGTGGGTACTAAGATTGGAATGGCAGATTGGAGCCAGATTTTGGAGAGTCTTAATTATCAGACTAAGATATTTATATATCCTGTAGGTAGTAAGTAGCTGCTAAAGGTTTTGGCACAAAGGTATGGTTAGATTGGTTAGATCTCATGCTTAGATCTCAAACATAGTATTAGTTTATTTTGGCAACTATGTGAAGGATGGATTGGTGAAGAGAGAGATTAGAAGCAGAGGGATCAAGTTAGAAACTATTCGAAGTAGTTCAGGCTAGAAATGATAAAGGCCTGAACTAGGATGTGGAGGTATGAATGGAGAGATGTAGGAGCTGTTATTTCATAGGTAGAATTAACAGGACTTGGTAACTGGTAGGTAAGGGAGAGAGAAGATTCAAGGGTGACAAAGGTTTTGAGCCTGAGTAACTGGGAGAAGTTTAACTACTTTGGCCACGTAATGAGAAGACAGGACTTCTTGGAAAAGACCCTGATGTTGGGAAAGATTGAAGGCAAAAGGGAAAGGAGATTGCAGAGAATGAGATGGATAGATAGTATCATGGAAACAATGAATATGAATTTGGACAGACTTTGAGAGATAGTGGAGGACGGAAGGAGCTTGTGTGCTATGGTCCATATGGTCACGAAGAATCAGACGACTGAACAAGAAGACTGGGAGAATGATTGTGCCCTTAAAAGAAATCAGTTGGGAAGAGGAGCAGGTTTTAAAGGAAGATGATGAGTTCAGTTTTGAATAGAGAATAAGTTTCAATCAAAAACTTTAGATTAAGAGCTGAAAAGTTTTTGAATGAATGGGAGTGACTTAACAGGAAGAGTTCCATTGGCTAAAGAAAATTGGTCCCTTGTGGGCCCTTGAAAAATAGAAAGCCAGTTCTGAACCCACAAGATTTGAACATGTTGGAGGAGGGACTTTGAGGGTCTGGCCCTGGAAAAGAAACAGTGGGTACATTCAGAGCTGGTCTAGCACCAGAAGCCCAGCAATAGGACAAAGGAGAAAGTAAGTTGGATTGAAGCCCATCAGGTGTAGAGGCACTGCCACCGTTGTACTCACCTCATCAAAGACTGAGAGAAATTCTGAGAAATAATCTGTTCTTTGTGCCACTTCTTATGTCAACCCACTAGCAGACATTGTAGTTTACTATGCTGCTTATTTACCCAAACATTTCTGGTAAGCTTATTTTGTGAGAACCACAAAGAGGCCAGGATTTAACTGGAGATTAATATAAATGTAAGTTAAGACAAAGAAACTACCTAAACGTTAGGAATTTTCCTAACTGGGAGCTTGGAATGATTTTGATTGTACTCATAACTTTTTATCTAATGTAAACTCCTTAAAGCAGCAGAGGAGGCAACCACATGGACCTTTAATTCCTTAGACTTAAAAAGTGTACTAATTGTAAAAGGTATCACCTAAGTACTTGATGCTTTGTGGTAAACTGAGACCTGGTATAATCATGGTAGATTCCAAATTAGGTGCTTACATTATATTTTATGATACATTAGTATATTAATGATCTGTGATTTTATTTGTGAGAACACCTTCTGCTGTCCTGTAGCAGATCTCAGCTATTCTGTAACTTACTAGTTAAGTCTTAGAGAATTGCCTGAGGTTCAGAAGGTTTAGTGATTTGTTTGTGGTCTCACAGCTAATCAGTGTCATAGGTCAGACTTGAACCTAATCCTTGCTGACTCTTAGGTCATCACTCTTTGTAATAATAATAATAATAATAATAATAATAATAATAGCTAACATGTACGTAGTACTCACTGTGATGCCAGGAACTGTGCTAAGAATTTTACAATTGTTATTTTATTTGATACAGCAACCCTGGGAGGTAGGTACTATTATCATCCCCTCTTATAGATGGGGAAACTGAGGCAGAAGTTAAGTGACTTGCCCAGGATCACATAGGTCTGAGATCATATTTGAACTCCCATCTTCCTGATTCTAGGCCAGGCATTCTCTCTATTATGCAACCTAGCTGCCTCATTATGCTAGTATTGCCTCTCATACTGATTGCATGATAAATGTATAAGTAGGAATAGGGACTAGTCCCCAGATTTTATTGTTGTAGGTAACTTCAAGGTAAAAAAAATCCCTATACCAGGCTTTTATTTAAAATATAAAATATCTATATTGAAGGTATTGAATGCTTTTGTAAGTTTTGCTGCTGATTTTTTTCATAGTTTTAATCTACCTGTAACCATGTCTACAAATTTGGGGTAGTAATATATGATAATTGCATTGCCTTCATAGGGGACAATGCTTTAAAAGTTTTATTTTCTATTTTTGGTAGGATAGTCAGTCAAACATTCATTAATTGTCTACTGTGTGCCAGGCACTGTGCTTCCTGCTTTTTTACAGAGTTCATAGTCTAGTGGAGGAGACAACATGTAAACAACTAGGTGCAAACAAGCTTATATACAGAATAAATTGGAGATAATTTACAGAGAAATGGCTTTGGAATTAAGGAGGATTGGAAAGGCTTCCTGTAAAAGATAGGATTTTAGTTGGGACTTGAAGGAAGCCAGGAGGTAGAGATGAGGAGGGAGAGCATTGCAGGCATGGGGCATAGACAGTGAAAATGCACTGGGAGATGAAGTATCTTGTTTGGGGAACAGCAAGGTCAGTGTCACTGGATGTATGTATATGTGTTCGTGTTTCGGGGAAGGGGAGGATATGTAAGGATATGTAAGAAGACTAGAGAGAAGTGGGAGGCGTTGGTTATGGAGTGTTCTGAATGCCAAACAGGATTTTGTATTTGACCCTGGCAGCCATAAGGAGCCCCTGCAGTTTATTGAGTAGGGAGGTAATACAGTCAGACCTGCACTTTGAGAAGATAACTTTGACAGCTGAGTGGAGAGATGGACTAGAGTGGGGAGAAATTTGTGACAGGCTCTTGCAATAGTCTGGGTATGAGGAAATGAGGCCCTGCACCAGTGTGGTGATAGTGTCAGAAGATAGAAGGGAATGTATCTGAGAGATGTTACAAAGGTAGAATCAACAGGCCTTGGCAGCAGATTGGGTTTGGTGGGGTGATGGATAGTGAGGAGTCAAGGATTCTCTGATAGTGCCACCCACTTGCCAATCTAGTAATAATGTTCTTCTTTGTACTTAACTAGGCTGGTCATTGAAAAACAAGCAAAATCTAGCATTCTTTATAGGCTAGAGCATTGGGTTGAATCTAATAAAGTGAAATTCAATACAGATAAGTGAAACTTGGGTACAAAAAAATCAACTTCACAAGTGCAAGTCAGGGCAGTATAGTTGGACAGCAGTTATTCTGAAAAAGAACTGGGGTTTTTGTGGACTGCAAGTTCGATAGACGTCAGCAGTGAAATGTCCCAGCCAAAAAAAAAAAAGCTAATGTGAGCGTGGGCTTTATTAAGAGGAGCGTAACTCCCAGGTAATTCCACTATACTATTCCTCCGTCAGAATTCATCTGTCTTCAATCACAGTTGGAATGTCTGCAGGAGGGCAGGTGAGTGGTCTGGAGTCCAGACCATGAGTCCATGTCTTATTAGGATGCAATGAAGGAACTGGGGATATTTATCCTAGAGAAGACTCAGGGAAGATATGATAGTTGTCTTCAAGTATTTGAAGGGCTGTCTTATG